CCACTTTATTTTTGCTTTCTGGCCCACGTGTGATAACGTCCTAAGAGTAAATGAAAAGGATGAGGCTGCACAAATGCAGTGGCTTGCTTTCACTGGATGTTGATACAAAGTGAAGACACTGGGAAGAAAACTGGTCTGAGTTTGGTAGAATGTGTACTTTTTCCAAGTTGAACTGTTTTGTAAATGTTTCCTGAGGAAGCAAGAATGATCCAAGTTTATCCCCCATGTTGGATTTATCTGGGGAAGAGCAGGGAAGCCTCTGCTCCCCAACCCCACCTCCCATTGCCCCACTTTTTCATTCCAGCATCTGACCTTATGTGCCATCAGCAATCGTCTCTCATACAAATAAAGGGGTGTATGGCATGGCACAGGGGGGAGGGGGGGAGGAACTTTGAAATGCAATTTATGATCCTTCCTGATAAGATCTTATAAAATTTCTGGGGCACACTCGAAATTACATTTCCATAGCTCCTTGAGTATATGATATTTGCCATTTTTATGGCTATATTTATTGCAATAATAAAGCAAAATGGTGGGAGTGGTGGCGGAAGCGGCAGTGGCAGCATGGGAAACAGGGAGCATTGGGACATTTGATCACTCCATCCCTGAGCAGTAGACAAAACTTGGGCTTTCCAAAGTGAAAGATCCTCCTGTGCCTGAGCCCTTTGCTTTATTCCTAATATCTTGAATTAGAAATCGGCCTTGGTATATTTCAAGCTAGCCTAGCCCCTCTTCACTTAATAATTCTTGGAGAAATAAGGTGGAGACAGGAGAAAAGGCAAGAGACAACAAAGGAAGGAAAACAAGGGGTCTTTTATTCCAGTTTCTTTTTCTTTGTAGTCTCTACAGAGCGCACATGTGTGGATTCCACTGCAAGAGTGAAGAATGAACTTCAGCTTATCTAGAATTCAAGTCAGGGAAACAGTAATTTTCCTGCCAGGGCCTGCCCAAGGTATTCAGCCTACTGAAATGGGTGGTCATCCTGAGCACACAGCCCATGTAGCTTTGCAACCTTCCAGCGGATTGTGTCAGATCACACAGTGCTTCTATGTTATATTGCTGGGCCTCATCATTGCATGGGTCATATGGGATGGATGTATAGGAAGCAACCAAATAAGTCAGACTATTGGTCCATCCTACTCAGAGCTGTCTTTGCTGGCTTGCAGTGGTTGTTCAGGGCCTTTTTGGGGCAGAGGGAGTCCTTAACAGGGTCTAGAAATACTGAGGATGGAACTGGGGACTTCCTGCATAAGAACCGTGTACTATTCTGCTGAACTAAGCCTTCCTCGCTAGAAGATCGGGATTAACAATAAATGATAAGGCTGCAGCTGCACAAATACAGTGGCTTTCTCTCATTGGGTGTTGATACAGAGTGAGAGCATTAGGGTGGAAATTGATGCGTGTTAGGCAGGGTGTGTTGAGTTGGCACAAAATTTTGCTCCAGCAAAGATGAAATTCTGCAACCCTATCCATTGTGGGTCACTTTGTTCTCATTATTTATTCTGCATTATTCTTTTGCTTTGGCTGTGGATGTAGGGAGAATCAAAGTATTATGGAGATTGCTCTACTCTGCCCCTACTCCTTATTGCATGCTTTATTGCTAGGTATACAAATACATGGCTTTTGAAATTTCCCTAGATTGCTCTGTTTCACACACTTCTAGGACTAGAAACTTGCTGTCTCTTTCTAACATAGTGAAAAACGATGTTTCCTAGACACTGAATTGTAACTCAGTACCAACGAATGTACTCATGAGGTGCATCTACAGTTTAGAAATAATGCGGTTTGGCGCCACTTTAAATGATGTAGCTCTTATAATGCTGGGATTTGTAGTTTTACAGGGTCTTTAGCCTTCTCTGCCCAAAAGTGGTGATGCCTCACAAAACTACAAATTTCAGGATCTTGTAGGATGGAATCATGACACTTAAAATGATGTTAAACTGCATTATTTCTACAGTGTAAATGCACTCATGGAGATAAAAGCTTGAGACTGAACCATCTCATTGTCCAGAAAGATAATTTCCTGAGAAGGGCTCGTGAGAGGCACCAATGAAGAAATTAAGGATTCTGATGTAGCTGGGATGTGGCACTGGTTGTTCTCCATCCTATCCACTAAAAAGACAGTAGCAAAGAGGAGTGTCCCGTCTTTCTAACTCTAGCATGAAACTTTTTTGGAAAACTGCCAAATCAAATTCCACAACCCAAGTACAATTCATTCTCCATCATGCATCTTGGCAGAAGCAAGATTACAGTACATGCTGCCACAGAATAATTCTGTGCATGTTTCACTGTGCAGTTTTACTCCCAAACAAGTGTGTATAGAAGGAATGGGTAGTATGTGCACCCATTTGTTTCTGAGACACCTGCCTATTTCCTTTCTTGTCATTACTTTTGCTGAATTTGAAACAGCAATGGCAGACACAAATAAATAAAAAAATGATTTTTATGAAAACTTCCTAGATTCTCTAACTTGAAAACAAGGCAGTATGCTCCCCATTTACCTTTTTAAAAAGAATGCATTTAAACCCCTTGTTTTCAAACTCCCCACCTAGTTTTAAGGGGAAACTATAGTGTAGTTAGAGAGCTGGTGTGGTGTTGTGGTTTGTGTGCTGGACTACGACTCTGGAGATCAGGGTTCGATTCCATGCTTGGGCATATAAACCCACTGGGTGACCTTGGGCAAGTCACATGCTCTTAACCTCAGAGGATGGCAATGGCAAACCCCCTCTGAAGAAACTTGCTAAAAAAAACCTCATTATATGTTCTCCTTAGGTTTGCCATAAGTTAGAAATGATCTGGAGGCACACAACAACAATAAACTGTGCAGTTTGTTGGCATGGCAAGCCCATCAAGACAGTGGGGCATTCTTCCCCCTCTAGTACATTCAGGCCAGTGTAGCCTCAACCTCCAGATGTTGCTCTTCCCAAGTCCCTCATCTTACAGCTGTGTCTCTTCTTAGTGCTTTCCTGCTAGGTTACATCTGTACTAGTTTTCCCATGCGAGTGCATTTGGCTGTGGAAGAGAGCCTCTGGCTGCTGCGCAGGAGTCGATGCACGTGTTCCTGCTCCTGTTAATCAGCCAACTCCAGGCTACTCTGCTCTCAGTGGGGAATCTCGTCTGGAGGGGATTAAGCCCTAGCCTTAGCATCCCCAGAATCAAGCAGGGATGAGCCAGACCACAGCCTGGTTGTGTTCTTACAAGGGATAATAAGAAGCCTTAATAACCTGCCAAGGCGTGCGCTCAAAGGAGAGGGCAATGCGGAGATTTCTGAGTGATGAGCCTCTATCGATCTCTCTGCTGCTGCTGGGGATAAAGGGACGGATAAGGCCTGCTTTCTGGAAGCTGCCATCGCCCTCCGACAGGAGGCTTGGCTTTAGCGGGTTCAATTCTGGTGTGCCCCGATCCCAGCCACCTGCAGGCTATTTTGCTGTGCTCTGGGTGGGTGGGGAACTCAGACTCTCCTTCCTCCTATTCTGGTGCCTTATCTTTTTTTGGCCTTCTGTTGCAGTTTCTCTGCCCTTGTAGGCTTTGGACCCCTTCTTGTCCAATTATGACTTTCTAGGAGCAGATTGTGCTGGTTTCCCCCATGCCTACCCCACTTGGCAGACTAGTGGAATCTGTGAGTGACTGAGTCCCTGCCAGCTTAAAACAGGCTTATGTAATTCTGTCTTTTTCTCTCTGTCTCATACACACAGAGCACATACCCATCACTCCCTGATCCTCTAGTCTCTAATTATTACACAGTGCTGAAGACTGTTCTACTCCTTCTGTTCATTCATTCTTCTATAGGCTGTCCTGCACTGGCTTTGAAAACAGTGCCTCTTAGTAAACAAACCAAATCAGGTTCCTTAAAAAGAAGTGGTAGTAGTTAAGAATGCTTAATCTCCCAGTAAAGCTACTTCTGCTTGTTATGGGATTGCTGTAACTCTCTGACATATTTAGCAGTATTTACTATTCTCAGGTGGAAATATAGGAAATGCTGCATTCTGTGTATGCATTGTGATCAGATGTGGGCAACTTGTGGCCCTGCCTATGCTGCTTGACTCCAATTCCCATCAGATTTGTGTCCAAAGGAGGGCAACTTAAAAGGTGAAGGGTCTGGAAACCAAGCCCTATGAGGAATGACTTAGGG